TTCCCCCCCCCCCCCTTCTCCATGTCACCCCCCGGGAGGGGCAATCTTTCGACAAGTATATTTGCTGAGGAATTTAAAAAATTCCCTGCTGCAACTTGATCCCTGTGTGATGAGGAGCGGCTTGGAGAGACCCGGACTCCAATCCTATTAAGGACTTAGAGAGTTGAGAGTTTTTTCCCCCGGACTCGGTGGCTTTAAAACAATCAGGGGAGGCGGGGAGGGAGATGGGCTCATCTAGATGCCTTTTCTGCCTCAAGTGATTGCCATCATTTCCTGGGAAACCTGACTTTTCCAGCGCGGGGGATAAGGATGTTTTATCAGCGCTCCTGCCGCTGGCCCTGCTGCCGGGGGTTACGGGGGTTCATGTGTGCGAGTGAGCAAATGTCCAGGAGGAGGGTCACCGCCAAACTTTGTGCCTTCCTATAGACGCACTCGTGTTTCATACAGCCCCAAGCGCTGGAAACCTGTGTGCCCACCTTTATGCCTGCAGAAATTAGCATTTTATTGGCGTATCGTGTTTATATTTTTACAGCCGTAGATAAAGGGACCAGTTGTAAAACTTTGTCCACCCCTTCTCTTTTCTTTTTTTTTTTTTTTTTATTTTTTTTTTTTTTTTTTTTTTTTTTTTAGAACTGAGGCTCTTGGGATGTACAAGAATTTGAAAGTAAACGTTTGACTAGCGTGCTGCATAAAACAGCATTTAAACAAATATTGTATTGGCATGCACTGTGAAGTTGGTGCCAAAAAAGTAAAGTAAATAAGCCATGAAATTCAAAATATACAGAAGTGGAATAGACTGATTTGTTATAAGACTTGCTGATTTGATCTGTTTGTTCTAGCTACCTTGCTTTAAAATAATTAAAAAAAAAAGTTTGGGTTTTTTTAGTTCTGCACCTAGTTCACTTCTTCACTAGAAAAGAAACTACATTCACTTGGAAAAGAGGAGCTTGCTAAATAATTGTTTACGCTCCTGGGATGTTTGAAATGCATGGTAATTACTGCATACAGTAACTGCAGTTGGTGAATTGGTTTGGTTCAACTTTTCTGATGGGCGGATATGGTAATTTGTATTTTGGCTGGAACTTCAGGAAATGTTGACACCTGTCAAACTTTGAATTGCAATAAAAATGTCATATTGAACGTTATTGCAAAACTGACAACTTTTAAGAAGTGAATGAAATTCATTATGGCTTTTCCACTGTAAACAACTCCTGGAAATTTGTCATTTGATTGAAAACATGACCCATCCGTAGCACTGAAAAGCACCTGATCCACTGAAGATGAACTGTTAATCTACGGGTATGTGTATATCCAACCTCTGGTGTATGTTTGTGAAAGAGCTAATCTTTAAAGCAAGGTGAGGTAAGATTCACTTGATCTTGAATGTTGTTATTGCTCAAAGTATGTGACTTTGAAGTGCCCAGAAATGCAACTGCTGTTCTTCAAAGAAAAACAGATCTCGAGGACTGTTTCCAACTTCCTTTCAATGTCTTTTTTTCAGTGTGTCAAAGGGGATGTATACAGATGGACAAATACTGTTTGCGTTAGGTCATTCATTTAGAGAAAAATTAGAGCCATAGAAGAATTTGAACTAGATGCATATGCCAGTATAAATCTAGCATAATTTCACTGAAGCTACTCCAGTTTATGCTTGTATAAAAGAAAACAGAATTTGACCTCAGATATCCAATACACAGCAGCCTACGTTCCCTAATGTCACACTGAACATCGAAGTCACGTTTAGAAAAAACAGCCTTTTGGCGGCATATATATAATAACCGGGATTTTTGGTGCTGTTTTTGAAAACCAGTTTAAACTTTTATGGCAAAGAACCATTTCTGACTACACTTTCTGTGATTCTAATGACCTTAAGGGCTTATACCACAAGTTCCCTTTCAGTGGCACTTTTGTACAGAAACTGCCCGGGCTCTGGGGCTATGTGATGGGCTGTATAACTGTGTAACTTGAAAATATGTCTTTCGTGATCCTGATACTTCTATTGAGAGAGTTTTCCCTCTCTTTTTTCCTCTCTTTTTTTTTTTTTTCTCTCACTTTTCCTAATGAGTTTTCCAGTCCCCCTGGCCCCATCTTTTTTGTTTAGGGATATGGTAAAGGTTCTGACCTAATAGCAATCGCATTATCCTCAGTCTGTGCTTGTAAGTAAGGAGGACACTTGGTTAACCGCCTCCCCCTGTTTTTGGTGGCCCTACTGTAAGCCAGTTGTTTGCCCTGTAGTCTGAAAGGTACACAGATACTTCATGCTTTTGTACTCTGAGAAGTGCTCTGTTCATAGTGAAGTTTCCAGTGCAGATTAGCGCAGGCAGCGGATTCAGTAAGCAGTCACCAAAATCTGTATGTATTTGTGCAGCAAACACCTATCTATTGCCCCGTCACAAAGCCCCCACTTAATAATCTGGCCAAGGATTTCAAGGCAGCGAGTTTTTTTCAAAGAAGCTACTTAGGAACATTAGATGTGACTATAGCATCAAACTAATTAGTTGCCACTCCATTTCTATGAAGCTTCCAGGGCTTTATAGAAATGCGATATTTGCACTTCTCACTTGCTGCTGAGGCATTGAGGTTAAGCAGTCTCTGCTTTTTGTCTGCTTTTTTTTTTTTTTTTTTCACTGATGGGAAAGATTCCAGGGCATTGTTCGAGAGCTGCGCAACCCCCTTATATACCTGGGTAAATATTTTAAACAGTTGCGCATTTGGACAACTTGCCACAAAGCATTAAGTGGTATTTAGGGTTTGCTTCAGCTCTGTTCCCAGGGCCCTTTTAAAGGAAACCAAAACAACAGGAGGTATTTGGGAATAAATTAAAACAACACTAAATAAAATAATGCCAAAGAATGAATCCTAGTATGAATGAAGTCTAGAAGGCATTGTGTTAGGAGGTAAATAATACACGTGTGCCTGTGCATCTCTATGTATATGTACACATACATAAGGGTGTATGCATGTAATATGTACAATTCTTGATGTTTGCATGCAGCAGTTCCCATATATGTACATCCTTTAGAAATTCACTGGTATTTGGTATACAAGTAGTGAGAACTGGAATGGAAATACTGGGTAATCAGGTCTAATTTTCTGCAGGCCAGTTCCAGTCAGAAGCAAATACATGTTAGATGTGCACAGTCCAGGAGAGAACTTGGCTACTGTAAAACCGCACTCCATACCCTTTAACTTCTTGTAAACAAAAGAAAACCAAATACACAAAAGCTAAAATTCACTGCATGAAGGGAAAGAGAAAGTTGTTGTCCTGTAATTCAAAAGTTCAGGGCCATAAAAGTTATTTGGGATTTGTGAATATTCAGTACGGCTAAAAAAGAGGCCTTGGTGCCTGGAAGTGATCACCCAAATTAGAAAACACATTTGAAAATAGGTTCCTTGGTGGGGGGAGGGAAGTGTGTGGGGGGCATTGTAATGCGTGGAGGCATTTCTGGTTCTGTCATGGGCATGGCTGCCCAAATACATTACTCAGTGGTGAATCTTTTCTCATCGTTTCACAATTATTTGCGATTGGCTGTCACATTTCTGTAATTATAAATATTCCAAGAGGAAACAATACAAATTAGAACTGTAGGTACCAGGATCTTTGTACTGGATGTATTTCCTTTTTACTTTCTAAGTGTTCTTTTTCATATGAAAAGAGTTTAGCAGCTTTATCCTTATTCAAGTCTTTTCTTTTTGTATCTACTGGGGAGAAAACCATTAATTTTAAGGAATGGTGAGAGTAAGCCTTAAGCTGTCTTTGACATTTTAGTTTAACTTGAATAGGTTAATTTTTTTTTTTTTTTTAAAGAAAACAAGTTGGTGGGAAGTGTGTTTTAACTGTGAGCGCCCGATTTCGACCATTAGCATAAGAAAAAAAGTTTTAGTGCATTTACTATTGTATTGAATGAAGAGTTCCAACAGTCAGGGAAAAG